AAATTCTGCTGCATCTGCCTCTGTATGTCTCTGATAAAACTTTTGCTTCTTACTTTCCATATATTTCCTATTAAACAAGTCACTTCACTCATTTTAGCATTTCATTACAGCCTTTTATGAACCTATACTTTTTTACTCCTGCCAATTTCTGATTCCTTACAAGCTATCCAATAATGGGCAACTGCTCTTCATAGTGAGACCATCAGATCTAGTGCAGATAACTCTGTCTCCACAGAGTCTGGCACAAACGAGGTTATCTGTCAACAGAAGTGGATTCTTCCAGAGGCCTCAGTCCTTAGTGTACAAATGAACATATTCTTGAGGTGACATGTATGTGTGCACAAATTTGAGTCCAAACTTCCTCATGTGGATATCAATAGTATTGTATTAAATGTAACTGGCTGACAGCTTTAAATTACTTACTTCAATTTATACTCTTCATGTCTTTACATCCTATGGCCTAATATGGTGGAGAAGAAGTGAAAGTTAAGCCTGAAACATGTAAATGACTGAGAGAAGAAAATTAAATCCATATCTCTCCACATCCTGCCTCTATGCCCAACTTCTTTATTCATCCAAAAAGACACGACATCTGATTCATTTCTTCTTCAACCCCGAGTCCTATACCAACATATATTCACTAATTAAGTTCAGGTAATACTCCAGGTGTGTATTCTTCATTCTGGTAACATAATTTCTCAATATTACAGTTATGAAATCACAACCACGGTCTGTTCCCAGAACAGAGAGGGAGCACAGATAGATAAGATAGATATTCCCATTCCAGGAGAGACAATTCAGAAAAAAAAGAGAATAGCCCTGAGCCTGAAGCAACACAAATTTAGGTTGGCCAACACCATCGTATTCTAACACTGGTGAAAATTTCACTTAGTCTTTATAGTGTAGGTCAGCAATCTTTGACATGTTCATCTTTTCCAGCTGTAAAAGGAAGTGTTTTCTGTGGTTATCATCCCAAATATATCTTTGGTCCCATGCATTAAACATTTTCTCTTCAGTTGAGGTTTAAGATACAGGGAATCTTACAAAGCCTCATTGCAATATGTCTACCATTTTGTTTATCATTGAAAATATTGGACATGACCCTCTACATTCCTTAAGTTCTCTCCCAGAACAAATCATTTTTTTTTCAGAGTTCTTGAAGCCCACAAGATCACCATGGAAAATTTCCCCAATAAGGTCTTTGAGAAACTATGATTTGATATGCAATGAATTATGAAACATTCACAACTCTTTCTTAGAGTCTCCTTGGAACAAAAACCCATCCAAATGTTCTGACATATTTTGAAAGCAGAAAATTTCTTTACCTTTTCGCATGAGGAGTAAACCATTAGGAGCAATATCGTCTGTGATGAGACTAAAATTCGACATTTTATTTTCTTTCATGGCTTGGAAGGAGCTGTACTTGAGGACCATATCCAGCTCATCTGGCTCTAATTTCTTTCCTAGGAAGTCACAGATCTTCTCTATTGTTCTCCTTGGGTCCTAAATGAAGAAGAAACAAATATGTGGGTAAGAAAAAGAAACATCTGAGAGAACAGATGTAGAGATGGGGACTATAGATGGATGACGAAAAAGGGACATGAAGAAAGTAATTGCACCATGAAATGAGAAAGCATTCCTTGGGAATCCAAAGGTAAATCCGGGCATGGAAGCAGGGAGGCTAAATGCAGTTCTTTGCCTCTCAATTTGCTCACCCAAATCTGGACTTCTAGTTTCCTTTATGGTTCTGTATGAAACATCTGCTGTCGCCTGCCTCCCCCAAATTCCTCTGTCTAAGGTGGCTCACATAGATTTTAACCTCCAAAGTTCCTTTTCCTTGCTCATTGCTTTGCCCTAGTCCTGAATTCCAGAAGACACTCCCTAAGAACCCACAGGCCGCTCTAGCCAGGAAAGCAGGTAGGGTAGGCTAACTGCAGATCTTCAGCTCTCCTGCCATTCTTGAGAGTCCAATCCTCAATCTCATCAGCAGATTTACATCAAACCTTATGCTGTTGTACGTCATCAGTCGTGGTTCCATTCACAGGTTACTAAGTGAAACCTGTGGGAAACTCTGCCCTCTTCCCTCTTGTGGACCTTATTATGCCCCCTATCCCATTTCTATTCATAAGTGTCATCTTTCTATATCCAGACAAGCATTTTACCTGAAAAATTTATTAAGTGGCCTCACTTAATAAAAAAAATGCAAACTGGAGGAAATCCACTAAGGAAAATTTTAGGAACTAGAAATGGAAGCATAAATCTCATGTTTATGAACTGAATATAAGCGATTGACAACAGAATCACAGGCATTTAAGACAACATAGAAGAAATATATACATTTGTCAAATAAAATGTGAAATCCAAAAAACTCCTGTCAAAAACATTCACGATTACTGGGACACTATGAAAACCCCAAGCCTAATAAGAGGAATAGAGAAAGAAGACGTAAAACACAGGTCTATGGCACAGAAAATATTTTCAACAAGGAGAAAAATGTCCTAACCTAAAGGAGGAGATGCCAATCAAAGTAAAAGCAGCATACAGAACACCAAATAGTTCCCCTCCACCCTCCACCCTCTGTTTGAGGTAAGTGTGGGCTCTGCCCCTACCCCAACTTTTGCCATCATCCCCTCCTTGGTTCTTTCTGGGCCTATTCCTGGCATAGAGTGGACCCGCCCAGATAGGAAGGACCTCTCCCTGAGTCTGGAAACACTTCACTCTTGCCCTCCCCTCTGTCCTCTGCCCTCCACCCTCTGTTTGAGTGAGGAGAATACGAGGAGAGGCCAGACCATCCAGAGTTGCAGACACTGAAGTTTTGGCCAATGTATGCCACTGGGTGACAAAAAGAGATAAAGAGGCCCCACCTGCACCCACTGGAAGAAGAGATGGGAAAAAGACAGAATAAGAACACACTCAACAACAGAAACACCCATGTGACGCCACCATAATCTAGGGACTCCACACCCGCAAGACCTGAAAAGTTCAACACAGAGGAAGAAGAAGAGATGGACCATAAAAACTACTTCATGAAGTTGATAGAGACCCTTAAAGAGGAAATGGGAAAATCCCTTAAAGAAATAGAAGAAAAACAAACAAAAAAATTCAAGAAATAAATAAATCTCTTGAAGAATCTAAAAACCACCAAATAGACTGGATAGGGAAAAATGTCCCCTCAGCTCACAATAATTAAAAACCTAATACAGAGGAAAAGTTATTGAAGGATTGGCAAGGGCTGGAATAGGAGGATCAATTAAGGAGGTGGAAATAAGAGAGATTGAGGGAGCATATATGGAGAGAGATGGTTAAGGGGACTATTTGAGGGAACATACATATAACCTAATATAGAAGAAATTTCTTATATACGTGTATATACACACATGCACACATGTAAAGGCAATCTAAGTAATATAACTTAATGGGGGAGATGGTGTCCCAAATGGCCATCTCCTGTCACCAAAGTAGATTTCCAGTATTGAGATTGGGAACAGCTAATTGAGATGTTGGCCAAATGTATCGCATGAGAAGCTCTAAACAACACAGGCTGTTGCTAAGACTACAGGTTGTCCTACAGAAACTGACAGCAAGGCCCCATTGTTAAATACAACACCTGCACACTCTTTCAAATGGAGATGATGGGCTTGTGCCTGAATCCAGCCTTCACCCCTACTTTTAGCCCCTTTGTTAAAGGAAGGTACTCTGCACACTATCAAAAGAGAAATGTAAACATGAAGCCAGCCACAAATCCTTTGCTCTACAATGGTGTAGTTCATGCAAGATATACTAGGAACGAAACTCACTGGAGTAACCAACCAATAACTGATTTTACTTAAGGCTCACTCCCCAAGATGGAACACATACTTGACACTGCCTTGGTGACCAGAGACTAGATAGACTGGGAACCTCGATTAAAGCCAAATAATACTGGCCTCAAAAATTAGTGACAATGTGGTCCTAATGATATTCTGCTAAACTCAGATTAGTGCTTATTCAGCCATCATCAGAGAAGTTTTCTCCCAAAGCATCTGGGAACAAATATAGAGACTCACAAGAAGACAGTACACACAGTGAGATACTTTTGAACCACCAGTCCTTAATGGTGTGTCTCCATCAAATCCTTCCCTTTAGAGTACAGAAAACTCTTTAGAAAAAGAAAAAGTATAAGGGTGAGAGAGGAGGAAGGAAACCAAAGAAACAAGGTCCTCCACATCTCCATGAGAAAAGCTAGTCTGAAAATACAGTCTGGAGCAGTCTGCACAGTGCCACGCCAGCCTGTACCACTTCTCTGCTTATAAATTAGGACTTGCAGCTTAGTGTTTTATGGGCTTCTTGAATGTGTGAACATGTGGTTCTCTACTTGTGCCATTTCTTGTGCTGTTTGTTTCTGAAGGTTTGTCTTGTCTAACTTTGAGGTGATAATATTGTTTCATCATATTTTATCTTATTTTGCTATAATTTTTAAAATGAATGAATGAAAATACAGCCATTAGGATAAAGACTAACATCTGAACTGTCATTACACCATCTGGGAGAGGAAAAATCAGTTTTCTCCAATGCAGTTACCCTGGATATATCAACAATTCCAGGGAAGTCTTTATGGTCAGGGTTATTTGTCCAACATATAATACACTCCACAATTTTGTGTGCCTGAGTCGTTTTTTGTTTGTTGTTTGTTTTGTTTTTTTCTTTTTTTACTGTTTTTTATTTGAATTATAAACAAGATTATTTTACATGTCAATCCCAGTTCCCACTCCCTCACCTCCTCCCCTACCATACACCCAACTAAAACCCTACCTATCACATATCCTTTCTGCTCCCCAGAGAGGGCGAGGCCTTCCAAAGGGGGTCATCAGAGTCTATCATATCCTTTGGGATTGGGTCTAGGCCCACCACCGGCGTCTTGGCTCAGGGAGTATTCCTCTATGTGGAATGGGCTCCCAAAGTC